CTGAATGAGATGAAAATTAGACCGCTAAAAACTCTGAGGATTTCACAGTTTTTTGGTTTGAATTGTGATAGTGACTGGATGTAGTGAACATTGGAAATGACAGGCTTGGTTTCATCAAACATCTTGTAAAGTTATAATTCCAAACAGCTGGTATAAATTTCCCTTGTCGGGAAAAGTGAGGATTGTTTTACGCACACAGAAATAAACTGTTTAATCATTTGCCAGTACTTCAGGAATGTGCTCATGCATACTGCAGTACAGCCAGTCATGGCACTCCAGATTGGAATCTGCCTGTATGTTCATGTGTGTTTCAGGATCCAAAGAGTCTGCACCTTATACAAGTACGTGTACATGTAGACCTGCCGTATACATGTATGTTATCCTGAATCTGTTGCTGAACTGAAAAAGTCCCAGCTTTATAGTGCTGTGTCACCTTGACGTTGTGCCAAGGAGTTGGGGACAGGCAAAATAGCCACCCAAGCATTTTGATCAAAAGAGGCAAAGGTGGAGAGCTGTAGCCAGTGTCGACTCGGATACTTGTACATGTACGTGCCTGTAGTCTCACATGAAGATGCTGCACCGCGTGTCGCCAACATGGAGTACAACGTAAACCATTAAAAATATTTCTTGTTAGGGTTTCCTGAAGATGTACCCCACATATATACACATGTACTTGCAGTGGACATTAGAGTAATGATACACTTGCTACAGCGAAAAGTAGAAGATTTTTTAAAGTAATATTGAGCCATTTTATGCAACATCATCATTAGAAACCAGCATCAATCCTTGACATGTCATAAACTGATTTTTTGACACCATTAAACCCTACTAAATTCTGCACTATTCGAATGTCAAGTGGACTTTCGGTTACACAATAAATCGCTGTGACAGAATAAAATCACAGCGAGCCAGATTTTTAAGTATGTAAATCTGGCTTTAAAAAACCTCTATAAGCTAATGACCTTGAGGATGACCTTTAGCTCAACGCTGGCTTCATAATTATGTGTTTCACATTCTTGTGAAAACCCCGGTCGCTAGAATATGTTGATTTGATTTACAGGGAGAGAAGAAATAAACAAATTTTCACTGCTCGAAAAGGCTACTGCATATTTGATTACATAAGATCAGTGACTAACAAAATCATCCATCAGACATCTCGTTTCCATCACAAAAGCTCACTGGTGTTCCAGTGTATGACCCTGAACAACAAGCAAAACTAAGCCAAAGAAGGAAACATACGTGAGTAGAGTGGGTGGCCAGTACCAAGTGTATAGTTGCCTGGTAACTTCTCCAGTGTTGGCAAAACTTAGAAAGAGGAGAGTAAATGTTATTCTTTGGATTTAGGCAAGGGGGGTATGGAGAATTTCAAAATTGATGATATTCTCAGTGCAATTACATGTGTGCATTCCTGTCTTGGTTGCTCTAGAAAATCCCTTGCCCCAATACAGTAAGTATTCAAGACTACATGTATCTTGCAAGGCCATCACACGTCATGCAATCTGAAGTCGGGTCATTAGAAGCTGTTCAAATGAATTGTAGCAAATACATTCTTTTGTCATTGCTTGTCCCCTGGTACTTATGACCAGGCTTGTGATTTAATTGACTCGTGATGGATTCCCTTTAAAAATTTGCCCTGGCTTTTCCACTTTGTTTCTGAGAAAACAAGAGAGAAGAGTTTTGCCAAAAAATCTGGAGAAGTCTAGGAATGCCTTTGTCCTGGCCTGATGGTCTTTACCCAAGCAGGTCATCTTCATGGGTTCCCATCAAATTAAAGTGTTGGCTGTGGGAAGTGAGAACAGATTTACAGAGCCCCTCCTGGCCTCTCCACCTAGCTACACATGTACACTGTACCACTTCTTTACCAAGGCCCAATGCTTAAACATGTCAGTGCTGGTCATCAGGTGGGCTCTGATGCTACAAGCTTGCATCAGAAAAGTATCAGGTATGAATAATGCCTGCATGTGCTGAGTAGTGTGTCCAGGCATGTAGTAGACTGATGTTTTTACTGGTTTTGCCTTGGAGGGCTCCAAACCCAATTTACTGCAGCATTTACGTCCCTAAATGCCACAATGACGTGTGCATTCATGGTGTGCAAATTATGTTGGTAGCATGATCAACCATTCAGAATGCTGTTCATGTACTAGTACATGTGTATGGATCAATACCTGTGGTTATGTTTGTTGAAATATGTACATGTACATCACACTTTGTTGCTCTAAAAGACAACATCACTTGTGCATGCATGCATGTGTACATTTTACTGAAATTCTTTGAAGAGTGCCGAGTATAGATTGCAATGTGCGCTTGTGCCACTGCTGCCATGTTACTCCAGGGGTCGTAGCACTTTGCGCTTGAATCTTACCGCTGCACTTTCCCTTTGGGTATTTTTGTGGTGCACACAGCTTGAAAAAAGAGAGAAAGAAAAAGGGGCCTGGCCAGCCCTTTTGAGAGCTACACAACCGTACAGAATAAGATTAGAAATTTTTGCCCTGAGAGAGAAAAAAATAGTGGGCTAGACATTCTAATGAGGGGATGGAGCAATAGTTTGCCTGGGAATATTTTATGAGACATGCCATGGCACTTGTGCGTAGGTGCTTACAGAATGCGAGGGACCATATGCTGTCACTTGATTTTTCGTGAAAATACACCTAGGGGTTTTCATTGAAAATGTTAATTCTACTTCACTGGTACACATGTACTCAGTACATGAAAGTCTTACCAGCTGTATTGCGTGTCTGATGCATGTCAAAACAAGTTACGACGTGTATTATAATACAATATATTATAATATTATATTATAATATAATAATAATACTAATAATAGTATATTATAATATAATGTATTATAATCTGGGTAGAATTAAGTAATGACTTACTGCGCCAGTCTGCACTCATTTATTGCCAACATGAAGAACAGCTCTTTTGGTTTGAAAGTGCAAGAAATTGTTGCTATTTATTTTTAACACAAATTCCTGTGGAATCACAAGAACTTGTTGATTCTTGATGCTTGAAGCTCTCATGTTTTCTTGGCATCCAGCTGCCTGCTTGCATTCTTAAAACAGCTTTAAGAAATACTCATGGGGGGCATACATGTACAGTTGAACCTCGATAATAAGAGGCCCTTTGGACTTGGCAAAATACCTCAACAGGAACCTTTGTATTATCAGGAACAAAAACAGTGATAAACAAAGGATTGGGACCTATGGTTATCCTTGTTATAAGCAGACTCCTGTTTTAAGGGTGCTCTTATTAATGAGGTTTGACTGTAGTTTGACATGGTACTTGTTGCATATACATTTACATTGTAATAAATTTGAATAATATTATGGGCATGACACTTCTCCTAGACATACATGTACATGTACCAGTATTTGAGGCAATATGCATCGCTGCTTGTTTACTGTATTGTATCTATACTTTATCAAAACCTGAACCTCCAGGTGGCTTACAAGTAGGTAATAAAAGTCTCCTGAACGCAAGTTTGTGTCAGAACCTTTTAGTTTGAGTTAGGTGTGACTTCATTTCATTGTGTGAATGGCCAGTTTGATTTCCCTTTCACTGACTGGATCCACTCAGCCATCCAACCATAAACTGGACCTCAGTTAAGTCCCCATTGTCCACCACCCAAAACAGATCCATACCTTCCCTGTTGCCCAACAATGGATTCACAGCAATTGATCTTATTCAGCTTGATCTGTTGAGCAAGCCGGGCAATAACAATCCCCCATGGTATGGTACCTAACACACTGATTTCACAGTCTTCCCCTACCCCCTCTTCTTCTGCATTGTTTCCTCCCGCCATTTCGTGTAGTCCCTCCTCTTTTGAGATACAATAATGGGATTATCCACAGAGCCGCTTTAGATGGCAGGCCAGAGGAAGCCTGTGGAATGGGGAGGGTGGGGGTGAAATTGGCCCAGCTGAATGGGGATGAAAGCATTATTGAGGCATGGGGGCAAATCGGCCTCGGACTGACAACTCCAAAGAACAGAGGTGCACAAACAAAGCTGGACTCTTAGGAGAACGTCTCCAAGGTCTGGGCACAGTGGAACAAATGATCATCGTAGATGATAAAAGAAAGTGAGAAAGGAACCCCAATGGGGGCGTTGGTTAAAAGATACTCTCTTCAAATCTGTTCATGGGGGTCGTGCCAGAAGAAAATGCCCCCAAATTGAGCTGGGGTGTGAATAAGTCAAAAATTGCCCTCCTGTTTACTGCATGCTGGCCATAGACCTTGGTGTCGCAATTGCCTGAATGATGTTAAAGCAGCTAAATTGCTCAATTTCAGAAGTTGCAAACAGGCCACTGTGGCACAAATACAATCAATACTTTTGTGTTACCGTTGCCTGCTCAAAAAGAACACAAGCAAAATTTGCATTCATGGATTGTCCAGTTGTAGTTTTCTAGCTTTTTAATCATTTGTAAGGCTCTTCATCAGAGTATGACAATGGTATTCCATGTACAGTGAAAAAACTCAGTCTTGATAAAGAATTTTGTTTCATCAAATACGATCTATAGCAGTGAAAAGAGTCTTACATGCATGTATACAGTGATTCATTGGCATATCATAAAGACAGTGTAGGTCACAAAAATTGTGATCTGGAAATTTATACATGTACATTGTGCACCTGTTCTTATGGGTAGGCTGTAGTGTGTACCCAGTGCTGTTCTTTATCTGTTGTCAGGGGTGTTGTTGTGTACAGACTGTGTTGACTAGACATTAATCATGATAGAGGGATAGAGACTTGTGTGGGGATACAAGTGTGTACAATGTACATAGTGTGGAAGTGAATAAAAAGGTGTATATGTTTGTTTGTTTTTTGGCTTAAATTATGAATGAATTGGGTGTTGAAAATGGAACACAGCCTTTTGCATTCAAGTTGACAAAATGTAAGATACAGCAAATATTCATTTGCTGTCAACTTCCACGATACTGTTGGTTGGATTAAGCATACATTGTAGTTATCAAAGATATTAATGTGTCTCCTTTTTTCTCCCTCAGGCGTGCCATACTCAAGAATCAGGATCTTCTTCAGGAGACACCTATTGTCAACATCTTCTATGACGACTTCTGGGGCACGCCCCTGGTCCACAGTGGGAGCCACAAGTCGTATCGGCCGCTCTGCGTCCTCAGCTACCGCCTTAACCATCTGCTTGGGCGGCTGGACCCATTTGGCTACCACCTCGGCAATGTCCTGCTTCACGTGCTGGTGACGGGGCTGTTCACCTACACAGCAAGAGCCGTTGTGTTACGGCGGACGATGCCGGCATGCCTGGCCGGGGTGCTGTTCGCAGTCCATCCTGTCCACACTGAGGCCGTCGCAGGCATTGTCGGGCGGGCAGACGTCGGAGCCTGCCTGTTTTTCCTGTTCTCTTTCCTCTGCTACGTCAGTTACTGCGAGCAGAGAGACTCACACACTAATCATTCCAAACTTCGAACTAGTGACAGGGAAGTCAACAAGCCTGTCCTATGGCACAGATGGATCTTCTTGACTCTTAGTGTCTCGTTCGCAACTATGAGTATGCTGACAAAAGAACATGGCATGACAGTCCTAGCTGTAAATGCTGCCTACGATGTGTTTATTCAGAATAAAACAAGGCTCCGAGATCTACTTTCCCTGAGAATATTCTTAAAGGTGAGCTACGTGAGCAGAAGGTTGCAATTGGGGTTGTAGTCAAAGGGAATGAAGGTGCATGGTATACATTTTATGTACACAACAACCTGTCCAACTGTGGGAACCATGTGCGCAATTACATATTCCCTCGTCAGAGGTGGCACCAACAATGAAAATTGTTACTGTTGTTTGGTGGTTGCCCTCCAAGTCTGTCCATTTTTTATATAAAATTACCGGCCTGCACTTACGTCATACCATATGCAGGCTAACAGGTGCACGCATGCAATCTGTCGGTCACAAGGTATGTTGTTGCTAGGCAACAAATCGCCCTCAGTTGTTCAGGCACAGAGCCCCAGGCAGAGAAAAATCTGCAGCAGTGGAAATGTACGGGGTGGGGTGGGTTGAAGGCACTCAGGTTAAGATTGGTACCACAGTTGAACCCTCACCCCCTCGGGTGCCTGAAAAAAATGTTAAAATTGGAAGGTATGGAAATGTTCAGGTGAAAAAGAACATTCTTAAAGAAGAATTGGACTCAGAAGTTGAGCACAGTAAGCACACTGTGTCTGATAGATTTCTGCCTAGAGAATGAGATTGTGACATTTACACGTTTAAACATTTAACGTTCAGTAAATGTTTACAGATTTCCAAAACATAAACAGAACCCGTTTTTGCTGGGTTTGACGTTTGTGTGACATGATCTGCCGTTCATTTTGGAATATTCCAAATAAGTGCATTCCTCCTAATCACATAGTGATTTTTGTCCACATCCATCTACTTTTATGGGGATGGGGGAATTTAATTTTAAACCAGAAAAATTGCTTATTTTAAATGCTTTCACACATTGAAGTACATTTAGACATTGAACCAATCAAGTGTATTGTTAATGAACTGTGTACAATACATATGTAAACTCAGAGGTAGACTCTGGCGAGCCTCTTTCAAGTCTTGGCCAAACGTCTAAGCAGTATGGGAAAACTGTTTTAAACATTTCAAAAAATTAGCAGAATGAAGGGATGAAGGCCAGTACTGCTCATCCCCAAACAGTTTTTACCATATTGCTTTATGCATGCATCTGTGGAATAGTTGTTTACTTGCCGAAGTGCATAGTAACACTTTCTCACTACAAGTACTCAGAATTTAGAAAACTGAGCATTTTAATCTTCCATTCACAAATTGATTCAATACTTCTTGTTTTTTCCATATTGTCACCATGTTGTTCGGGTTTGTGTAACCAACAAAGTTACCAGTTGCTAGTGACTTGGGCTGGATTCAAAAGTGACCATTGTAAAGAAGGCAAAAGCTTTGAATTGACAACTGAATCTGGAAGCCTTTACTGGGTCAAAGGACCAAACTCGCCACAGCTGCACTGGTAGCCTTCAGTATTGAGGCAGATTCTATTCACATTGGTACTTACCAGGCCACTTTTGTATACCCTTGCGCACACTGTGGATCAGCACACTTCAGACCTGACTGAATGAAGCTGGCTTCAATACAGTAACATGTGCAGTATGCACGCATGGTACATGTACATGAACCAGGTAATAGTAGTTCATAAAAAATATGATTTCACCATATCTTTCTTTTGCTTTGGTGCAAAGTCTGCATAACATTACATGTACGTGCATGTACATGTAGATCTCTCCAGAATTTTCACTCCGAGGTACTTTTCAATCTTTAAAATTACATAGTCCATGTACCGGTAGATGTTGCAGGATCGAGGAAACTGGATGTACAAAATTTCTCCTAGCAGTGTTGATTTTGCTTGGAGAATGTTGGCTCATGCAGGCTGTGTTGAGTACTACGGAGCTCCATTTCCAGATTGATGTGTCTTCACACAAATAATATGAGAGCGGTCACATGCTTACTAGGATGCATGCGTGTACGTCAGAGTTGGGCGCCTAACTAGTAATCAATACTGCTATGGGTGTATCCAAACTTTGCTTTAACACATTGAATATCAAAAAGGAACAATATTAACCAAGTGAACACTTCTTTGAACAGGTCAGGGGAGCTTCACATGCACTGATTGTAATCAAACTTGTAAACGTAAAGCAAGAAGATGAACAAGCTATCCTTTAAAAAAAAAACAGTTTAAACAATGATGTATTAATGTACTGTAACTACATGTAAAACTCTGTGCCTAGGGTATAGAGAAAGACTGTCCAGTGCCCAATTCATATTTACCAGGGATTGGGAGACTAACAAGTCATCAATACTGATACAGTGCCCAAAATGGGTGGGTTACTCATTAGCCAGTAGACCACTTCTAGCCTCCCTCTTTCAGAGTCCTGTATTTAAACCATAAGTATATGTACATGTAATCTCTCAAGAGGAAGCATTTCTGGTTTCTAATTAAATGATAGCAATCCCTGTTGTCTTGAGCACTGAGCACTTTCTACACCCCCAGAAAACATACCCTTAAAATATGAAGGGTGAGTAAACTGTAAACAGCTGTCTACATGAATGTGATTGTCAGTCTCTCTTACGTATACATGTAGGTAATTCCAGAAATTAGGGGTCCAAAAGTGTGACATTTGGTGTCCCTGTTACATCTGACCTTTGTTACTTTACATGGAAATATCACCAGAATTGAGTCAAACTATCACTATTTGTTTGACAGGTAATTTGCATCAATTTGTCACTCTTGGAAATTAGAAAATGTGTTCTGAATTAACTTACAAAATCATGTCAGATGGGACAGGGACACGAACAAAAATGGACCCCTAATTTCTGGAATTACCCATATACAGTACATGTACATGTAGACCTGTGGGACATGTACTGGTACCGATGTGCGGCATTTCTGTCAGCTGTTTCAGTCTTATTCACATGGCTGTAGAATAGACCAGGCCAACAGGTCCAAAGTACATCTACAGGGCATGCATAAGTACTGTACTGTCCGTGCATGTACATGTACATGTGTGTATCAGTACTTGCCAACATTATGTCTGTTTTTAGAAAGAAAAGTTTCCCTCTTAAGAATTAAATGATCTTGCTGAAACATTGTCATTTCAACATTGTCATTTTGTACATGTACACATTTAAATGGTGTAGAGAGACCTGACTTTTTCATGAATAAATTATTTCCTTGAGTGGGATATAACATGATATGTACATGTACATGTACGTGGGTCCCAGAAACCATAGGCTTGATCCTATAGGCAATATTTGTGTATATTTTTGGCAATGTTTGGCCTGATTTGCTTTTCCTAATCACAATGCCTTGTGGACCCCTGTACTCTCTGAGGTGGAGAAGAACTCTTGTTGGGAAATCTACGCACCATTGCCTTCTGATTGGATACTTTTGTGTGGAAAAAGTTGCCAAAGGGTGGGCAAAAATGGGACCGACAATTGGACATTTTATTTTTGTGGGGTTACATTGTAGCTTTGAAAGGCCATCTTCCCAAAATCAGTCAGGATTATTTGGGGCAGGTGTTGTCCCTTTTGAGGAAGAGATCCCTCCCCTTGTTCGGTAGTTTATGTGTCAAGGCCTTTGATCTTTCATAATGAATCCTGCAGCTACTCTGACAACCTACTTTTGGTGGGAATATGGCTATTTTCTGATCAGCTGACCCAGTTGTGCTAACTTTGGGGCAGCCTTATCTCACATTTTGTTTAATTGTCCCCGTGTGGCAGTCATGTGAACCAAACCTACATGCAAATCCTTTGGAATCCTCTTGATTGTAGTAGCTTTTGCCCCAAAGTTTTGATGAATAATTAATGATATTAAATACACAAAAATGCACGTTCTCTCTTCAAATGTTGCGTCTTGCTCATTTAGTATGACTTCTGAACAGTTTATGGCATTTTCATTTTTCAGAGTCAGTAAAACCGTGAAATCTAATGGATTCACGTCAACTGAGACGACATACGTGCATTTGACACGGACCAACACGTGCACATGAAATTCCAGGTGAATGCTGGCTCGTGAACACGTACTTGCCAACTTGTGATTCACACGCATGATAAGTTCCCTCTGTAAGGCCATATAAAAAGATTGGTGAACGTCCTTTTTTTTTTTAATCGTGGGGAGGGCATTTTTGTCTGTTTGTTTTTTGTTCAGTTCAACATACATCTTTGCTGGATTGGAAAATATACGAGCAGTTTCCTGAAATGAAATGAGTTTTATTTATCTGCTTTGCGAAAGGGTTTTTGTACACAGGCAAATCATTCATCACAAAAGGAGCAGGGGTTGTACAGCCAGTCAAAAATAGGAGGATTTTCTCAGAGAGGGTCGCAGTGGTGTAGCTCCATGAAGTGGAATTAGTACCTGGGAATTGACACCGCTATTGAGTATTGACCCAGCTTGTGCAGCAGAGTTCTCAGGCTGCATCGGAATTACTGGCTGAGGCTGCAACTGCATTGTACAAAGCTATTGTGGTTGCCGCCTCGCTGGCTGCTCTATTTTCCATAGGTTTATGCACGTGGCCGCAACCGCAGCCAATTATTCGGATGCGACTTACACAAACGCGCTAACGGTTTTCGTGAATCTTAACCTCGCTCCCATGAGCTCGATCTTGCTGCACCATGGAGTTGAGGTTGGGTGAATTTGCACTCGTACATGTAGATGTTCGGGAGTAATTGGCAATCCAGAAGTATCATTGCTAAAGGGCCTAACAGAAGATCGCTAAATTTGAATGTGGAATCACCCAAAAGGCTGTTTTTCTGTACAGTTTTTAATAAATAAAAAAATTAGAAAAAAATTAAGGGCAGGTGTATTTCGTAGGGACGGGGACGATCACCAACTATTCTTTTTTATGTGGCCTATAATGTGACCAAATTTTTAATCAAATAAACGGAGAGTAGAAATAATAATCAGAACCTCTGTTGAACATTGTGTTAATCATCCCAGGCTGAGGAGCCATGATGATTGACAGCATTGACCAATCTCATGAGGGCAAAGCGATTCCGTAACCATGCTAGTGTAGTATACGCCTCATGCCTGCAGTATCATAAATACAAATTTGTCATTTATTGTTTGGATGTTATTACTATGTGACTCAATTGTGACCCTGAAAAAT